TTAATCCGAAAGCATAATGAACTTTCCTCCTTTCTCCCCCTCGCGTGTAAATGTTTTGCGCTTGGAGAATCTTATCGCAACCATTTACCGGTGATGATTTACGAGTCATGTTATTTTCGCGTTCGCGTCGACTTGCTTTCTTTTTCCCCTGGCTGAAAATAGAAACTGATCATTCGCGATACGCTGCCCGTTCGCAAGTTGCAATCCAAACAAACTGATAGACAGAATAGAAAGTAGTTGCCGAGGGGAAGATCGATTTATCAAAGATTCATCGCGAAAATAAGAAGAATAATTCAATGAATATTAAATGAGGGTGCAACATGTTGAGTTGTAATATTATCGGAAATTAAAAACTTGACGAATTCTTAAAGAAAGACTAATGAATGGTAACTTATATCCGATAATCTTTCATTCTTTATTTAGTCTCAAAGACTAAATAAAGAGAGAGACCCTCCTCCTCTTGGTGTGACTACTCATTTCCTCGCTTTAATTAAGACTCGTGGCAAGTTTTTCTACGCAGTAATCTCTCTCATTCCTTCTTTGCTCGCGTATCATCCTCTCGTTCTCTCATCCGGCTGGATTCACACAAACCTGCCAAGTGTAATAAAAAAGTTCGACGAAAGGAGGAAAACGGACAGCACGCGATATTGGCCGAGTTTCCGGCTTGCACGCCACACCCACGCCTTTTCCGACAAAAAGAGGGAAAGCCAGCCGCGAGTTTTTTTTCGCCTCTGACGGACGGTCGATCGGCCGAGCGATCGCGGGGGTTTCGCAAAATCGCGTAAGCCTTCGTCGAGCATCGCATCCCCTCGTCCTTTTCCAACCCTGTAGGCCGGACTCCCATTGACGTCAGTCTTTGAGTCCGCGAAGTGGCGAATCCCCGTGGTACGACTGGCCAAAGAGAGAGGGTTGATGGAGGGGCAAAATAGTCTCTCTGGTCCCTCCACCCCTTCGACGGGGTGAGAATACAGTGGCGTCACGCGAGCCGCGTTCCGGCCCCTATCCGATATCTATTTGTTCGTGAGCAGATCCGCGAACAGATTAAGGGTCGCCTGTTGATGCCGGCAACGATGTCCCATTACGTTTTAAGACACTCGAAGAAAATGTCAATTACTCAAACTGGTAGCGCTGTAAAAAGATAATAATTTACAGATATCGAATAAAGGCGAGAAAAAGAAGAATGAAAAGGAGAGAACAGTAAAGTAAAAATATGCGATCTCTAAATCAGGTTTTTAAATCTCGCGTTGCGAGAAATTGGAGGAAATTTAAAAGTCGCGAAAAGAGCGTGCTGAAATAAAGTCTTACGTCCACTGTGCATACAAGATCTTGAGTGGAAAAAGAATTGACTGAATTTATTCAAATGAAGTTGATCAAGTTTTTTCCTCTCTCCATCCGAGATCGCGGATGGACCGATTTCTAGCGTGGCGATTACGGAGCTTCGTAGAGGCGCGCGTGGAGTTCGGGGGTTAAAGAGGAGAAATTGATATCACGGCCACGATCTCAATGTATTCCCGACGGTGAAATTAACCGACGCATTTGCGAATTATTGGTGCAATCGAGCGTTTTAACGACGATGCGACGGGCGTCGGCGCTCTCATCACGGCGCTACGACCCTGTTCAACGCGAAATGTAATGAGTTCGTGGAAGGGGACGGTCCCGAAGGAACGGATCGATGTTCCCGCTGCGTAGTAAAGGACGCCTGTTGATACGCGAATGTTCATTCATGAAAACGGCGAAACGGCGAGCCTCGCTTTCGCGGACGGCCTCCTCACGACTCGTTATCTCGATGCAAATGCGATTTTCGAAAGGGTAATTCCGTTGCACGTTCGTATTAGGCTCCTATATGGCGCATCGTATATTTTCTGAAAAAGGAATCGTTTCCCATATCGCGTTCCTAATCGGGGAAAATCTCGGGGACATAATAAGCACAGCGCGATCGGCATAGCAATTTGAAGAAAACGTCTATGTTTTGCGGGAGAATAAAGGAAATGTCTTCGGTTACATCACTATGCTGACTATAATGACATTGACTGCGCAGATAATAAAAATGTTTTTCCTTAAAAAATGCGTATATAGCCTCGAGGATATTGATTTTTATAACTTTTTGCGTTGTAACGATTACTCTTGAGAAATGAGATATAGTAAAGTGAGAGTTTTTGTTTCGCGAAGTATATTATCTTCTCGTTTAACATGTAATATGTAACAATAATTGAAAGAAAAGACAATAGAAATCCAGAAAATAACCAAACAATTCGTATCATATTCGTTCCGAACAATTTCATGTGAGTACATAATATATGTACTCTGGAAAGAAAGTTTCTCAAACAAAAAAGAATTAATAAAAAGATTATCGAAATTATAAAAAGCTTTATATTTATATTTTACGTTTTTTATATTTATACTATTTAAAAATAGATTTGCGTTATAACGAAATTAAAGTATAAATAAAATAGCACGGATTTTTAATATTTTTATGAAAAAATATTTGTAATTAATATTTTTCTTAATGAATAACGAGAAATGTATGTTGAGTGCAAGATTGAAAAATATCGTGTTTTTCTATGATGTTTTTATATCACTAAAAATGCTAAACATAAAAAAATTTACATAGATTTGCTATAAAATTTGTATTTATTATGTAAATAAATACATAACAAAATAAAATAAAATTAGATGCCATTATAGTTTCTTGTTAAAGTATAATATAAATTATAATTAATAATATAATATAATATATAGATTTTGCCTTTTTTATACATGAATAAAAATTCACTTCCGTTAGAGGTCTCCAGTTTTCTCTACCGATCCTTTAAATATCTAAAATATGTGATCTGAATATGTCGAATATGAATTAATACATTTTGAATGTCTTAAATGTTTTTGTGTTGTTTTTTTCATTGAAAAATATAAGAAAAAGAAAAAACATATTGAAGAATTTTGAATTTGAAAATGTTAATCGCATAATAATTCTAACCTCCAATTTAGGTCATGACACATACATGTCATTTAAGATTTTATTTTAGATTCAAAATGCTTATTTACATTTGCAGCGAGAGATTGCGTTTATTCTAGAAAAGAAAAAGAAAAATGTTTCCTTCTCAAAGATGCAGAGATATAATTTGAATTAGATAATTTGTTGAAAAAAATGTTGAAAAATTTGTTGAAAAAATTGGATACCTACTATATATTATGTGAATCATTATGTGGAAAATTGAAAACAGTTGTATTAAAATAAATAAGTTGTATTAAAATATAAAGTAAAGAAAACTTGCTAGTTATAGAAAGGGAAATATATTTCTTATGTGAAAAAGTATCAATATTAAAAAATATAACAAAAGTCAATCCTAAGGCTATTATTATGATAATTGATACTATGTTGCTAGCAGAAATTGCATAGATCTGTATTACATTCGTAACAATATGACGCAACACATTGTTCACATCAAGATTTAAGATCCTTACAATAATCTCCGATACGTTTGCAATCATATTCAATGTATGTAGTATTGAAAGTTACTAGAAAAAGAATTTTACTTATAAATCTATAAATAATTAAATATAAAAATATTATGTATTATTGAAAGTCCTGTGCTTTGTTTCACAAGAAATATATTTACAGTTCATAAAATAACTTAAAATTTGATGGTTTTGCAAGATTGAAAGAAAACTGAAAAATCTCAAATATTTGGAAAAATTACAATAAATTTGTCTGTAATAATATCAGAAAGATTAATAAAGTTTTCTTAGTTTAATAATAGCAAATCATCAGAAATAGAACAGCTAAAAGTTTTTTCTACAACTTGCAGCATTTTAAGAAACATTATTTGTCTAAGTTATTTTGAATATAAGTTCAAAGTCTATATATATATATATATATATATATTACAGCTGTGCTGTAAGATATATATTTTTTTATTTTAAATACTTACTAAATATATATTTAGTACACACTACGTCAGTTCCAGAACATGTGCGGGTATGAGTGCAAGTTATATTTATTATGTCCTCGGGACACTCATAACATTTCAATCGAAAAACTGCTTCACCTTAAAAAGAAATGAAACAACAAACTGATAAAAGATAGAAATATAAATCTAGATATTTCTAAAAAAGTGTAACAAAATTTTTAAAAATTATGAAAAAAATTAATGATCAAATAAATTATCAAAAATTTACATCTCATATCTAAGCGAGAAATAGAAAATACAATCAATATAATTATCACAAAGAAGCGATATAACTGTTGCATCTTCACTTGCATCTTGATTCACGTCAAACCAAAAACTGCGTAATACAATACATATGAAAAAATAAGTACACCTTCCGAAGTGTCTGTCAAATATATCCATTTCACAGGAAATTATAATGAATTTCAAAATCAGTATTGTGATATGTTATCACCTATCATATTATATTAGATTATCGAAAATATACATTTTCCGTTATCCTTTCGATAACTGATAATGCGATTAAAATGCAAAAGTGCAAAATAATAAATTTTTACATAAACAAAAGCTTACGATATTTAAATCAAAGTTAAAAATGCATTAACTTAACTATTACATGTTTTTTACATATATATTTGATTTAAAAAATATTATCGACAATTACATTCTTAGTCTTGTCAATATAATAATGACAAGACTAAGAATTTTGCAAACGTAATAATTAATATAATATGTTCACATTTTTAATAGACTTTGTTTATCGTGTTAACAATACTATTAAGCAATTTTAGAATATGTTATAAATGAATAGTAATTACTTTTATGGTGAAATTTATAAGTTGAGAATTCGTGATATTTTTATTA